ACGGCACGCGAGAAGGTAGGAAGCGAACCGTTTTAAAATGATTATTGTTGCTGGTATTGTCGTTGCCATCGCTTGATACTGCTGCTATTGAGTTTAGACATCGAATCGCCCCCCTGCGAAACTCACTAGATCATCATACGCCCTCATTATTTCCGTGTTCCCCTCCCTCCTTCCTCCCTCCCTCCCTCTCTCCATCCCCCTCCTCTCCTCCTTATGTTTATTATTTCTCTCTTTCTCGCTTTCTCTCTCTCTCTCTCTCTCTCTCTCTCTCTCTCTTTCTATATGTCTCTTCCGTTTGTTCTCGTCGCACGGCGGGTGTCTTCCCTTCCGCGCGACCCTTTCCAGGTCTAGACCTGACTGATGGTGGTGGTGTTCGGCGGGGAGGGTGGGGAGAAAAGAAGAAAACAAAACAACAAAGAACGAATTCGATGTTCTTATTCTCCCCGCAGGAGGCGAAGGAGGAGAATGCGGAGGAAGAGGAAGAGTAGTAGTAGTAGTAGTAGTAGTAGTAGTAGTACTACTACTGCTACTACTGCTACTGTTACTGCTACTGCTACTGCTACTGCTACTGCTAGCCGCAATGCCGAAAGTACAACTACGAAGGCACGACTCATACTCTAGCACTGCAGTACTAGAGTGATACTGAAAAGTACTAGAACACTATCATATTAGAGAGATATTGCTCAAATACTACAGCCTCTCCTCGGCAATTACTGCTCACTAGTCAAATGCCGCGAGCTCTATATAGCACAGGCAGTACGACTGCGACTACAGGAACGCTACTACAGCACTGCCGTACTAGGGCGCCACTGCCACGGCCAGTACTCCTACAATGTTACAGAACTAATACGAATACTAATACGAATACAGCCCCACTGCATATCACAGCACTACTACTACAGCCAGCACAGCAGCACGAAAGCTAATACAACAACAAGTTATTACGACTACCGCGTTACTACAACAGTACAACTCACTACTGCAATACGATTACGCCACCAGTACGACCGTTCGAGTACGCTCACTACTGCAATACGATTACCACAACAGTACGACCGTAACATAATGCGACCACAGTTCGACCGCAGCGCCATACTTTAAAACCACGGTACTACTCCTACAGCCGCCAGTACAATACTACTACTGCTTCGGAATTCCTCCAGAGTCCTTCGGAGGCTTCGGAATTCCTCCGGATTTTTCGGATTCTTCGGAATTCCTCCGGATTCCTTCGGATTCCTTCGGGGGTCCTCAAGATCCTTATGCCTTAGGATTCTTCGGAATTCCTCAGGATTCGTCCGGATTTCTTCGGGGATCCTCAGGATCCTTATGACTCCTCAGGATCCTTCGGGATTCCTCAGGATTCCTCCGGATTCCTTCGGGGATCCTCACGAATCTTTACCAATCCATAGGAATCCTGAAAAATCTGTCCGGATTCCTTCAGGAATCCGGAAGAATCTTTACGAATCCATCGGAATCCTGAGAATCCAGTGGAATTCCTTGGCGAATCTTTATTTAGGGAATCCTCAAGCACCCTTCGGAATCCTTAGGAATCCTCAGGAATCCTGAGGAATCCGTAGGAATTCCTAGGGAATTTGTTTTCCCTCCATTGTATGCGATAGGGCGTCTAGGGATCTCGTTGCAGCAAAACTGCCGCCACTTTCGAGGGCTGCACGGGGGGCGAATAGATTGACGTCCTATGGGGAGTCAGATTGGACCTCGCCATCCCTGGGGGGGGGCGATATGCGAAACTGTCGCCACTTTCGAGGGGTGCTGGTGGGTCCAGCGGAGTGGCGTTCTACAGGGGGCCCTAGAAGAGCCCGACACGGCCGTAAGAGGGAAAAGCAACCGAACAATATTTCATTTTTCGGAAGGGGGCGGGCAGAACAACCGAACAATATTTTCTTTTTCGAAAAGGGGGCACTTTGGGGGCCTTCTTGGGGTCTCTCTAGAGCCCTCCTGGGGCCCCTCTTGGGACTTCTTGGGGCCACTATTGGGGCCCCTCTTGGGGACATCATCATCATCATCATCATCATCATCATCATCATCATCATCATCATCATCATCATCATCAACATCATCATCATCATCATCATCAGCAGCCGGGTCCCCATTGATGCGGTCGGAGCCCCAATTCATGCGGGCAGTCGTTCATCGTCGACCGCGGGCACGCCCCTGCGGCACTCCACGCCCGCACGGAAAAGCTCGCGACACAGGGGTATGTCCCAATTACGACCTTGCGAGTGCGCGTGCGGAATGCCGTTCGCGGTGGCACTTCTGGCTCATGTTACGGAGTGCCAGAGCAGTGGGCGGACGCTTTCCATGCCGGTTACATCGGGCCCAATCCGCCTGTGTGATGCCGATTCCGCCGCCCCCCCTTCCCCTCCCCGCAATTCCCTGCAGGAAACAGAAGGTGGGGGAGTGGAAGGGACGGGGGGGCGGAGGCGCAGGGGGAAGAATTCAACCCAATGAACTTTTATTGCGCCGCGGGCGCGGTGGTGGA